AGGTTGGTTACTCCTTTTTGTGATCACCATTCAGTTTATTACAAAATCCTTATTAGATCAGGACTATTTCACATTTGAAAATTTCCAATTTAGGAAAGTTCTAGCAATAGAAGAATAGAGTAAATCTCTTAAGAAACAAAAATAAATTTGTAATTTGTACCCTAAATTTGCAGTTTAGAGTTGGCACAGCTGGCTTTCTTTTTACATACTTTCTCCTTCCAGAAAGAATGGGCCAGTATTAGCTTTTCACACTTGGCATTTTGCAAGGAGGTGTCAGAAGATTACAAGCAGAGATGACAACTCAGCGTGGTTATCCACGCTTCAGTCAGTCCTCAGGCAGAAGAGTTTAGGCCATCTTTGGCTCACTTGAATAAACGTTTTATTGGGACCAGCAGTTAGTGTAATGGCTATGTCGCTGGACTCCCATGTAGTCGACTGCGGTTCGAGTCCTGGACCCGGTGGCTTAAACTCACACAGGCGCATGTGTGTGCGTGCACAAGATCCTGAGAGGAGAATGGAGGAGAAGGGATTGTGGCGTGGCCATCCCCCCTGGGGGGTGATTTCTCGCTTTCTGTCTCTCTGTCTGTCTGGAGAGTGCACATGCCCTATAGCAAAAACCTCTCCCCCCCCAAAAAAAAACTCACTGGGTATGTGTGCTTGCATGCCCAAGATCCCAAGAAGAGAAGGTAGAAGGGATTGGGGCGTGGCCATCCCCCTGGGGGGTGATTTCGCTTTCTGTCTCTCTGTCTCTCTCTGTCTTTCTGTTGTGGCGACACACCCTATACGAGAAAAAAAAAAAACTCAAAAAAAAATTAAAACAAAACGTTGTTTATTAAACATAGTTTATTAAAGTATGTTGGGGTACAGAGAAAAAAAAAATTCCCACCACCAAATAAATTTATATCTAGAGTCTTATTTCTTCTTTCTGTGGAGTATAATTTGAAATTATTCTTTTTTTATGTATCACATTGTATTCACTGCTCTTTTGAAAACAAATGTGGAAAACATGTAATTTGAGCAAATATCTTTAAAGTGGGCTTTTTTTTTTCAATTTGCTTAGTATTATTTTTTTTTTTTTTTTTTTTTATTTCAACCAGAGAGAAAGAGAGAGAGATGGGAGAAAGGGAGAAAACAAGCCATCAGATCTAGGACTTGAACTACAGTTGGTCATGTGGAAGTCCAGCACCTCAATCATCATGCCACATGACAACCTTTAAAATAAGCATTTCACAAAGGTGCCTCTGTCCCTAAAATGGTAACTCTTGGGGCCAGCAAGCAGCATGGTGGTTATGGCTCTGGATTTCCCACATGGCCAACCGTGTTCAAGTCCCAGATCTGGCAACTTGAAAATCACATGGGGCACATGTATGTGTATGCTTAAGATCCAGAGAGAACAGAGAAGGGATTGCAGTGTGGCCATCCTCCCAGGGAGGTGATTTCTCACTTTCCTTCTCTCTGGCTCTCTCTTTGCCCTATGGCAAAAACCTAGAAAGAAAAGAAAAAAAAAGGTACCTGTCTTTGGCACACAATTGCCTTTTCCATGTTATGGAGCCATAGTTATTTGTACCATTGCTACTTGAGCCTGATGCCTGATAGCTCACTTTCTCTGCCATAATCCCCCAGAGCCCTTTTCCATTCAGGACTTCTAGTTCCTTGAAAAGTAATTTCTGTTCAAGCAGCTGGAAGTACCAAACAATTATTTTTCTCTGAATTGAAAAGCAGTAGAATTTATTTTCTCACATCCCCAGTCTCTTTGCATACTAATGAGTGAGAATGTCGTTGGCACCCTACAGCAACTTGTTGTTCTGCTCAGAAGATTCTGTTCAGAATCGTCACTATTTGCTGGTCTCTGCTCTTTTTGTAAATGTCTAACCCAGTGAAGCACCACAGCCTTTGCTCCATGGGGTTCTTTTCACTAAGGAGAACCTGACCCTAATTGTCAGCATCCCATAAGGTCTGCTAAACTCCATGGGATCTTCGAGGTGATTGCCTGGCCATCAGATGACACCACACTTAAACCGCGTGCTACCAAAGTACTTTATGCCACACGGCCGTATTTCATTTCCTGTGTGACCCTGCTGCCTTTGAACTCCTGTGTAGCAATACAGTAGAGAAAATACAAAGGAACAATAGGGGTTTATGTATTCCCAGCCAGCTTTTTGTTTATTCTTCCCAATAGCAACCTCTCACCCAAACAGAAAAATGTTGCGAATCAATTTTCATCTCTGGGCAGAAAAATGAATTAATCATTCATATTTGTAACCCATGTAGCAAACACTCCTTGTTAGGAAAAGTACGAGGAGATTAGTAAGTTTGAATCAGAAGCATCTAGATTTTAACACGAGAGCCTAGTCTTTGACATTTATTTTCTGGAAACTTATTTCGAACATAAGGCACAACTCGGAGGCAGAAGCTTTTCTTATTTGAATATTTTCTTAAATTGCCTATGCTGTCTGGGTGTCAATAACCTCCCCCTGCCAGATTTTGAGAAAAATAGCTAATTAAGGGTATTTCACATGCCATATTTTTTCCCAAAACATCCGCAGCTCTGTGATGTCCTAGATTCTAAATTTCTAAAAGAAGGAAAAGTAAAGCCCTGTTTTGAATATGACTAAGCCAGTAGAGAAAGCCACAAAGAACAGAGAGGACTAGAATGGTTTTCCCTTCTTGAGAGGCTTTTAAATACCTTTCTACCTATCTGAGCAGTGACCATAAAAATAGAAACTAATGGAGAAAAACAGAACACCTGGGTTGTATACTGTACATGATTTTATTTTTGCCATTTTGTTGGTGGTGAAAGAGGGCTAATGTGGTGCTTTGGGGAAAGAAGTTGATGAAAATAAAATTAATGTTCTTAGTGGAAAGAAGAAATCCAGTGATCTTTTCCTTAGCCTGAAAGTTCTCAAGACTTCACACTGTTTGGACTGGGACCAAGGACTGGAGGCATGAGCACAACTGAGGGTTCTAGAGCTAGGGAGGGCCTAGAGGTAGCCTCTCATTCTACCCAAATAGGAGTGGCAGGTCTCATTTTCTTGAAAATGTCCCCATTGGAGACCGCTCCTTTTCTAATCTATTCCCACTTCTGCTTCCCCTCCAATAGTCACTTTCAAAGCTGATGAGAAAGAGAAGTGGTGCCCTTAAGACCAGACTCTCAGCTTGTAGGGAGAATATGTCAGAAGAAGCTGCCTTGTTGCAGTTTAATTGTGTATTTCGTATCTGAAATATTTTTTTAAGAATTCTTTATTTTATTTATTAGTATTATTCTTCAATTTGAAAGAGAGAGACAAAAAGAGAGAGAGTGAGTAACAACAAGTTGCCAGGTCCAGGACTTGAACCGTGATTGGCCATGTGGGAGTCCAACACCTCAACCACCACACCACCTGCAGGCCCTATATCTGAAGTCTTTTAATGAGTCACAGCCTGCCCTCCTATATATAGCTATTGGATATCTGACTTTTTTTTGTCACTGTCTTATTTCTAAGCTAGAAGTCCAAGTTCATCACAGAAGGTATTCCCATCTTTTTCCTAGCTTTCTGATTTGCCACTTCTATCAAAGAATGTGTTCTGGATATATTAGAAATTGTTTCTTTGAAGTCTCCTCTGAAAGTTCATTATTACAGCATACAGCAAAAAAGTCTATCTCTGGGGACCAGTAGTTAGCATAATGGCTATGTTGCTGGACTCCCATGTAGTTGACCACGGTTCGAGTCCCAGACCCGGTGGCTTAAACTCATGCTGGGCACGTGAGCGTGCATGCCAAGATCCCGAGAGGAGAATGGAGGAGAAGGGATTGCGACTTGGCCATCCCCCCTGGGGGGTGATTTCTCGCTTTCTGTCTTTCTGGCGAACACACGCGCCCTATAGCAAAAACCTCTCAAAATAAAAAAGTCCATCTCTGATATTTCTCAGGATTTTATAGCAAACTTTGCTCTGTTAGCCACCATTCTAGTTACAGAGCAGTGCTAACTCTACCCCCGTGTCTCACAGTGTAGTTGAAGAAAGACAACTGACCCCTAGGACATTGTGACAAGCTAGGATACCCTGAGGAGCCTCTAAAGGAAAGTGATACCCAGGATTGAAAGAAAAAGAAGGAAGCAATTAGGAATGAGATAGAGCATTCTGAGCAAAGGTCACTATGTGGAAGACCCTGGATTAGGAGAAGTGAGTAGCTGAGTGTGGCACAGGAGTCAGGAAGAGAGAAGAGTCTGGCGGAGCTGCAGCAATGTACATATATTGTGTCTGGAGACCTCCTTGAATACCTAGGGTATGCATGTGCCCATAGTCCAGAGCCGACTTAGGCTGGGCTTGGAATGCAGCATCTAGGCTATCGGTGGTTTTCTTATTACTCATGAAAGAAGTAAATAAATAAAATTTTTAAAAGGAAATGGCAGCAGGCTGCTTTTGGATAGCTGAGCCTTTTCAGGTCTAGAGATTTGACCTTTAAATAATTGGCAGATTCTTTGGAGAAATGGCAGCAGGAGTTAAAGCTGGAGAAGTGGAACAGAACCAGACCAAAGACTTAAGAGTCCAGGTGAAGGATGTGACTATTTGGAAACAGAGAGAGTTGTGAAAGGTATCAAAGAAGTTTTTGCCTCAGGAACCAGCAGTTAGCGTAATGGCTATGTGGCTGGACTCGCACGTAGTCGACCACGGTTCGCGTCCCGGACCTGGTGACTTAAAACTCACACCGGGCGCGTGTGCGTGCGTGCCCAAGATCCCGAGAGGAGAATGGAGGATAAGGGATTGCGGCGTGACCATCCCCCCTGGGGGGGATTTCTCACTTTCTGTCTCTATGTCTCTCTCTGTCTGTCTGGAGAGTGCACGCGCCCTATAGCGAAAAAAACCTCTCCAAAAAAAGGAAGAAAGTTTCCCTCTAGTTGCGTTGTTTTTTGAGTCTCATCAAGATAATGGCCTTTTGTAAT